TATATGAAACATTACATGTAAACAAGCTCTCATTCATGGGTATGGCAGAGCCCTCAATAACGAGACTTGTTTTCTATGGTAAACTTTACATTGGCAAAATTACTGGGGCACTCCAACGTTTTTACGAGCTTCAAAAAAGCATCGGGATCGTGAAGCAGAATAAATAATTTTGGCGCGCTCATCAAAACAAGAGACGAGTGGAAGTTCTGAAAATTAATTAATAATAAGATTTAAGCAACTATGCCTTCGTGCTCGCCGCTGCGATACGCTCACAGCGAGGGATTAACAAGTCTTTGTTATGATGATAAGGGAAAGTAAGTCAGAAAATTGCCAATCTATATAATGTAATAATTTTACAATGTAAGTATGTTAATTTCTGTTGTCACTGTCTGCACAAGGGTGAACCATTACTGCCCTGTAGACTTGTTTTCCTCTGTATCCTCATGACAAAGTTTCATGAACAAACTGTGTAAATTTATCCTATAAGATATATTTTGACCTGTACCTCTGATCAGGGACCTATATACAGGTTGGGCACAACCTACCAAATGGTCCTTTATCCCCCATTTGGTAGACAATCTACCATATCGGTATCGAATTTTACTGACCAAATGGGGGACTTTTTTATTCTATTGTAATCTTTATCAAAATAAAACAAAAGCGCATTTATTTAGGCATTGGGGGATTTTAGTGAACATATTCCTCGCACAGTTATCATAAATTGGTTGAATCTTTATGTGTAATTTCTCCGTAACTTTGTAAAAACAATGCCCATAGTTGTCTGTAACAGCCGAACTTCTTGATCAATCGATCAAAAAATAATGTTTGTTGTATTTTGTTGGATAAAAATTCAATTTCATCTTGTGATTTAATTCTTGATGAGTTAACTTTCAATCTCGATTTGGATCTTCGTCAATGTTTATCGCCGTAAAATCCCGTTAAACAATGTTAAAAACGATCTCCTCATGCCTTACCGGTATGGTGCGCACTTCCTGCTATAAAGTTAATTTTTTCCAGAGTTGAACGTAATGTTTGTTGTCATTTTTCTTTTAGGAAGAAGTTGCAGATTCCTTGCGACCTTTTTGGGTTTAATATGCATATAACTGGTGAATTTGATTAATTTGAAAAATAATATTCAATAAAAGATGTACAAAATGACTTTTGCCATTATTCTTGTTTTTTTTCCCATTTACATCGTTTTCAAACAATCATGAACAATAGTTGTATCATACTCCAACTGCATTTACTATTTTTATGAAGAACAAAGCCATTGTGTACAAAATAAAACGAAATAAAGGCGAAAACCTATTTTTCTTCTGATTTCCTAGTTGAAAGTTTACACAAACGTGTCGCCGTAGTTAAATTCGACTTTTCGTCAGGTTTAAAATAGATCATCGCTTTGATTGGTTTGCACTAATTGATTGGTTGCCCGGATAATCAAAATAGAAAGTAAAGGACATGATTGACAGGTGCAACATCGTTGGAGAAGGAGAGAATTTTCTTTGAAAGTAAAATACGGAGAAACATTGCACTTGTTAACTTAAGCTACGTTTTTGTCAAATTTTTGAACGACTATGCGCAAAAAATTGCACATAGAATTCCTGATTTTTTTCATCCAGAACACCGATAAATATCTATATTTTATTCCACGTGGTTTAAAATTATTCGAATTTCACGCCACTCCATGAAATTAAACACAGCCAATTTTGTCCCCCAAATGGTCAGTAAAATTCGATACCGATATGGTAGATTGTCTACCAAATGGGGGATAAAGGACCATTTGGTAGGTTGTGCCCAACCTGATATATACTGAACAGGTCCAGCACAATCTCTTGATTAAGCTATATAGCTTTAAAAAGCTATATAGCTTTATTAAGCTATTCAAAATAGCTTGATAAAGCTATTTATATGCAATTTTTCACAAAAACGTTCTTTGAAAGAAATAAACAAAAAGTCGCAAATATTTGACTATTCATATATGTACTATGAACTTTCAAAAATACAACCTAAATCATACAAAGTTCTTACATTGCTGCTATTGAATACTTTTAAGCAAAATATGAATTTCCATTGTTTGACTAACTGTGTGTGTGGTGAGGCGTGGGTAAGTATGATTGCTTCTCATTGTGCTGAACTGTTACTAATCAATTATCCTGTTGGCCATAACTGGCCTCCTTTATAATTTCATTCAAGAAATAACTGTGTGGTCACTCATCAATAGCCCCAAAACTTTTAAAACTTTGAGTACAAAGTCTCTCAAGGAGACGCAATTTGGTGAGTGATTTTTACATGCATTGTATTCAGAAGAGTACAAAGTTTAATATTTCCACTGCACTAAGGTGCGACTTTTTGCACATGTTGAAAAAATAACACATTTGAGAAAAAAGTCTGAGAAAATAGCTTAATCAAGCTATTCTGAATAGCTTAATAAAGCTATATAGCTAAATCAAGCTATATAGCTTAATTAAGAGATTGTGCCGGACCTGCTAAAGGGATAGGCAACTCCTTCATCGCCATGTTTTTATACCCAAAACATCACGCAAGACACTACAAATTTTTCAATTAACATTTATTCCCAGTAAACAGGGTGTTTTCTGATTATTATCATTTATTCCTTTTATGTATTGGAATTGATTTATTAATAAATTTTAAATGATAATAATATAATTTAAATATAAAGAAAACAAAGACCGAAATCGGCGATTTCTTGGAAATATGGCCGATCGGGGCATGTGCTGATTTTGCATAAAACAAAATTACTACTAAGATAAGGAGTGTAATACATGATTAAAACAAATCTTGAATGATTTTTTGACAGATAATTAAAAGATTTGATCTCAAATATGCGATAGCGGTAAAAATATAGTTAATTAAAGTTGACTTACGAAATCCCGGGACTTACGAGATATCGCGAGATTTGCAGTAGTTGCCCATCCCGTTAGTATATAGGTCCCTGCTCTGATCATTAACAAACTGTTATTGAATACTTTAAGGTATATTTTGACCTGTGGTTCTGATGGAGATGTCAGAATATGGGAGGGGGCGGAGGATGACGATGCAATCTCCCATCGAACTGGAGACAAAGCCTTCAGTGTCGCATTCAAGGTAAGTCATTATCACCTTTCTTGTGACTAACGCAAATTAAGTCGGAGACGACGGTGGAGGTCCCAGGAAGAGTTATCTTTTCTTTGCAAGGGACGGACTCCCTGGAACAGAGATCACCTGTTGAAGCGGTTCTCATTTTCATCACTGCAAGGCTTTTAGACAGACAGTATAAGAGATCAAGCTATGATTTTTAAAATTATTAAGCTCTGTTAATTATTTGTAACACGCAAGATATGAAATGAAGGTGCAAATGTAATGAGAGTAAAGAGTAGTAATATGCTCTCCAAGATGCAACATCATAAGTTCTTAGACTGAAACATATTTAAGATTGATTTACATACTAGGATTTTTACCGAAATCTTTTGATGTTGAGCTGAGTTGCTAATTATTTATTAATTAAGAAATGATATGAAAATTACAAATGAGATTTTCTACATGTTTTTTTCTGGTCATTTATTGCAGAATAACAAGTTTTATGTTGCTACTGACACAAACACGGTACAAGCGTTTACTTTCCCCGATGGTTCTACAGATGGTATTGTGGCCAGATTTACTGCCCCCGTCAACCACATCAGTGTAAACCGAAAGGGAACAACTTTGGTAGCAGGGTCAAGGTAACCTTACAGCATCTTGGTTGAGAAATTGAAAAGGAATTACATCTTGTAGATGAAAAGAACATTTTGATAATTATGAATAATAGAGAAACAAGGAAATGTGTGTTGTGATATTTAGAATTCTAAATCAAATTCATTTGACGTAAGAACATTTGTAGTGCCCCGGAATTAATCTTTCCGGATTTGTTGGTTTTTACCTTACTTTTATTGTTTACCGGAAACGATCTAAGGCATCAGTGCCAACCTCGTGGGTTCCAGAACCCAGCTTATTTTACTGCATTTAAAGCCACCTATGAAGTAAGTTTTATGATTTTTCATTTACTATTATGTGTAGGCAATGCATAATATTCATTTTCTAGTCATGTGTAATTTTTTAACTGTCATATTGAGTCAAGGCGCACTTGGCGCGTTTTTTGCCTGTCTTTGTTTTGATCGTTAAATTTGATTGCAACAATTGATTGATTATTCCATTATTAATACATCTGTAAACATGCTAGGGATAAACTATGTTGATGTCTGTCTATTATCTTTTGGAAATTATTTCGTTAGAACATCTCCTCCTTGAAATCTGTTAAAAATTCAAAACTATGGAAACCCGCTCTAGTCATATTTTTATTATGTATGTTTTATATCGACATATTGCTTACATTTTTGTATTGTTTGTTTGTAGTTTTTCACCCTCTCCGGGGGTTTGGATGCAATAAACTCATTCAACATTGCACAGTGAAAAATTCATAGCCGAGCTAGTGATTAATTGAATGGAAAAATCAACGACAAACATCAGCCAGATAAGTCCACCTACAGCCATGTCTTCAGGGAGAAGGTCTTCCTCCATAGCTTCAGAGCTAGCCAGACACCGGGCCAAATTAGAAGCAGCAAAAGTGCAGGATAAATATGTGCAACAAGAATTTGAGATGGAGAAACGGAAAGCTGTACTTGACCATGACCTTAAAATTCTACAGTGCAAGAGAGAGATGGAGGAGGCACAGATTGAAATGAACAGTCTAGATTATTTAGATGAAGTATCAGATGAGAATTTTACAGATAAAGAATACAAAAACCTTCAGCAAGTCGCTCAAGAGAGAGTCGAAGAGTTTGTACAACAGCAGTCAGAGCTAAAGACTGAATTGGAGAAAAAGGAACAAAGTGTCGTACCAAACAACACTACACTGTCTCCTATGGCGCCAGCATTTGTTCCAAAACAAGACTCGAGCAATGGACCTATTAATGAAGTGTCTAAGTTCCTTGCGAAGAAAGATTCATTGTGGTGCCGACTCACAAAATTTGACGACCGCCCAGAATACTTCACAGGATGGAAAACAAGTTTTAAAAACATTGTGAGTGAACTGAACTTAACATCCTTGGAAGAGTTAGAACTATTGAATAAGTGGTTGGGACCAGAATCAGCGAGATATGCACAAAGCATAAGGACCGCCAGTGTGAATCCTGATGTTGCTTTAGCCCGACTATGGGAAAGCTTGGAGGACAGGTATGGTAGACCTGAGATGATCGAAGCCGCACTGAAAAACAAACTTTCAGCCTTCCCGAAGCTCAGTATTAAAGACAACAAACGGTTATACGACCTTGTAGACATTGTGTCAGAAATAGAAGCAGCAAAGGAAATTCCACACCTCTCTTCGCTTTTCGCATACTTTGACTCATCAAGTGGAGTGAACCCCATTGTGTCAAGACTCCCTTACCAAATCCAAGAGAAGTGGACCAGGCATGCAAACAGCTTCAAGGAAAATCACTACATGACTTTTCCACCCTTCCATGTTTTCTGCAAATTTCTCCGTGACACAGCACGAATGAAAAATGACCCATCCTTTTACTATGACAATGTAATCGAGAACGCCAAAGTTGTTCAGGATGGAAATCGACGAAAACCACTGTACCCTACAGGTACTTCATCTGTCGCCACAAGGAAAACTGACACGAATGCTTCGAGGCCCATGGACAAGACAGAGTACACACAACTGTGCCCCTTACATGAGACTGGCCATTCATTGAACTCTTGTCGTGCCTTCCAGAAGAAAACCGTTCAAGAGAGAAGAGAATTCCTTAGATCAAAGGGAATTTGTTTTAAATGCTGTGAAGAGAAACATCTAGCCAAAGACTGTCAGAAAACAATCAAGTGTAATATCTGCAAGGAGCCAGGACATGCCACTGCCCTGCATGTTGGGAGACGCGCAAGTGACACTGGAACCGACAGCCAGGTAAAGACAGTATGTACACAAATTTGCGGAAACGTACATAAAACTAGCAAATCCTGCGCTAAGACTCTCTTGGTCAACATCCGCCATGGAAACAACCCGGACAAGGTGCTACGAACGTATGCGATAATTGATGAACAGAGCAATCGGTCATTGGCAAACAGTGATTTCTTCAACTTCTTTGGTGTGGAAGGTCCGGACATCCAATACGAACTTACCTCATGTTCCGGGCAGTCTACTCAAACTGGAAGGAGATCGGCAGGATTCGTTATCTCATCTTTGGACGGAAATTCTAGTCTTCGTCTTCCACCATTGATGGAATGCAACTATATCCCAAACAACCGGGATGAGATTCCGACACCGGAGGTCGCGAGATCTTACAGACACATGAGAGACATAGAAGAGGAAATACCTCCGTTAGATCAGAACGCAGAGATAACATTGCTGGTTGGCAGAGATTTGCTGCCTGCTCACCATATTCTCGACCAAAGACTGGGAGACTCCGACTCTCCATTTGCTCAAAGACTGCACTTAGGGTGGGTAGTGATTGGTGAGGTATGCTACGGGGCCTCACATTCTCAGGAATCTTTGTCCGTGTGCAAGACTTATACGAGGACCAATGGCCGAACGTCTCTCATGGAAACTTGCGAAAATTCATTTCGACTGAAGGAAGCTGACGTATTCGCTAAGACGAAGCATGACGACTCACCTGGCCTCTCCATAGAGGATAAGAAGTTCAACGATATCATGGAGCAAGGTTTTGAAAGAGATTCTGAAGGATGTTGGTCAGCACCGCTTCCGTTTAGAGAGAACAGACAGCTCCTTCCGAGCAATAGAAATCATGCACTTCACAGAGCAAACCTACTTACTAAAGGACTTCAGAAGGATCCTGACAAAAAACGGCATGTCATGGAATTCATGAGCAAACTCCTTGATAATGGTCACGCTGAGATTGCGCCACCACTTTCTTCCCCAGAGGAAGAACATTGGTATTTGCCTCTTTTTGCAGTTTATCATCCCAAGAAAGGAAGCGTCAGATGCGTGTTTGATTCATCTGCACAGATTCAAGGACTCAGTCTCAACAGTGTTCTTTTGACCGGACCAGACTTGGTAAACAGCCTTCTTGGAATCTTGTTAAGGTTTCGACAGTTCCAGGTAGCAGTGACAGCAGACGTAGAACAGATGTTTTACCGCTTCTCAGTTCCAGCATGTCACCGAAACTATTTACGATTCTTTTGGCACAAAGACAATGATGTAGAGAAAGAACTTACAGAGTACAGAATGAAGAGACATGTCTTTGGGAATAGTGCGTCCCCAGCAGTAGCTACTTTGGGACTTCGCAGAACTGTAAGAAATGCCGATGAGGATGTCAGACAATTTGTGTGTAAAAACTTTTACGTTGATGACGGCCTCATATCCGTAGATACAGTTGAAGAAGCAGTCAACATAGTCGCGAAAACGCAGAAAATTCTTATGGAGGAAGGGAATATCAGGTTGCATAAATTGGCTTCCAATGATCCGAAGGTATGCGCGGCATTTCCAAACAATGACTTAGCCAAAGAACTCAAGGATCTGAACCTAGATTTAGATGAAACACCCCTTCAACGGACCCTTGGTGTGAGCTGGAATTGTCTACAGACATGTTTACATTTCAAGTCTCGCGTACTCTTCATCCTTCTACAAAAAGGGGAGTACTTGCAACTATTAATAGCCTTTACGACCCTATTGGATTCCTCGCACCTGTTATAGTGAAAGGTATGTTGCCGTTCAGGGGTTTTCTCCCTTGAGACAACTTGTGGGTCTCCCAATTCTGTATATTGGACAAAAGAACTATGAGTCAGGATTAAAGTTTATAAAAATTTATTATTGCTTGTTGTATTTAATTTACACAATCTCTTTGTTTGTTTATCCCTATTTCTTACTCCCGCAGAAATATTATTTCTCTCCCAGAATGGGAATAAAATATTCTTACATGGGAGAATTCTGTTTAAGGGAATTGTATATATATAAATTTACAAAAGCATAAAAGTATCTATCTTCTCCCAAAATATTGGGAGTTCTTTGCTATACAATTATATTATAGTCAGGTATAGTTATGGGAGAGATATTTTACTTCCCACT